TACTTTTTGTTGGGTGTCAATTTTGGATTCTTCAAGGTTCAGTTCAAACATGGAAAAACCAGGTGTCAACAACTGATAAATGTATGGCTCACCCACAAGTTAAATCAAACATAGAACAAATGCTCCACAACTTACTTAGTACTGTCTTAATAATGGATATTGCATATTCAAACCTTTTGTGACAATACGTAAAATATTAGCCTTTTAGGCAATAGCATTTACCTCTCCTACCTATAAAAGAAGTGTGTACATGTGAGAGTGGCACTGGGGGGTGGCAGAAGGGGAGGGAAATTATCTCCATGGCATGACAAAATTCAATGATTGACCCAGATGCACAGTTATATCTAACAGCATGTGTTGTTAGTCTTGGCCTTGGATATTTAGATTTTTTTGCACTCAATTAAATTTGCTGAGTTCAACATCAAATCAGATTAAGGAAAACAGTGGAGGCAGGAAGCAAGTTTTAATTAAGGGAGAGGTACTGATGTAAAGGACACAGATTTAATTTCTTTTAAATTTATGTATCTGAAGAATGAGACTTCACACTTTCAATAGTTAATTTTTAGGGACAAAATCATTGTTTGATGGGATTTAACACTTCATCCATTAAAAGAACACTTAGAATTTAAATCCTAAGAATTAAATTTCTGTTCTACCACATAAATGCGGCAATCTCATAACACTCAAATATAAAAAATGTACTGGGGATTCTGGATATCTGAAAAAGAAACAGATGGTGGGGGAGAAACTCAGCAGGTTTTGCAGTATCTGTACAAAGAGGAACTTAACGATGATTCCAATATGAGCTTCCTCAGAACACTTGTTCTGAAAAAGTCAAAATGGACTCAAAACATTAACTTGTTTCTCCTTAGAAGCTGTCAGACCTGCCGGGAATCTTGTGTTTTTCCGCTCTTTTACCACACCTCAACAATGTTGAGGTGATTAACAAAGATGGTGCTTTCATGTTAATGAAGGAGTGACACTTTTCAATATTACTGTCTAGCCATGCATGAGCTCCTCACCTGAAGTTGCTGCATCATTTGTGCAAGAAAAAGTGGAAAACACCATTTAACGAAACATACAATATATTACAGGCCCTTTGCCCCATCAAGTCTGTAATGTAGTAAATATACTAACTATACTAGCCCCACTTTCGCACACTAGACCCATAGCCTTGAATGTTATGACACTTCAAGTGCTCATCCAAATACTTCTACAGGTTGCGAGGTATCCCACGTCAACTACCTTCCATGGTAATGCATACCAGACCCCGTTCCACCTTCTGGGTGAGAAAGATTTTCCTCAAATCCCCTCTAAACCTCCTGCCTTTCATTATAAAATTATGCCCTCGTTCATCTCAGTTATTTTCACATCAGATTCTGGGCCAGAGGTTTTCATATGATTTCTATTTTAAATTTCTGCTTAGCCTGAAGAAACTATTCTGCCCTGATAAAAGAGTTTTGGATTCACATCAGGATCACAGGCTGAGTTTGCAACTGAACGTTTTTAAAACCATTTCTTGGCTCTGCCATGACAACTGTCACCACGTCTCTCACCTCACTTTCAAATCTCTCCTTCTTTTGAGCAGCACCGATTTTCCTTCAGGCAAGATCCGGTTTACAGTGATTAGAACTATGTGAATAACACATCATCAGTTCAGGCTATCCAATTAGCCCACAGTTTTGTTGACTGAGGCACCAATACTCAAGGAAGTCACCACAATCCAGAACAAAGCAGTTCATCCAATGATTTTAAACATGCAGTCCCTCCACCACTGCCCAGTGTCTGCAGTATACACCATCTACTTTCCACAGCAGCAAATTGCTAAGACTTCTTCAACAACATCTCCCAAACCTGCGAGTGTTACCTCGAAGGAACAGGGCATCAGGAACGTGGGAACACCACTGTCTCAAGAATTCCCCTCCAAATCACATCCTGCCCTGACGTGGAGATAAAACTCCCATTCCTTTATCATCAGGGGAATTAAAAATTTTGGAACTCCTTCCGAACAGCACTTTGGAAGTATCTTCACCACACAGTCTTCAGTGGCTCAAGATAACCGCTCACCATCCCTTTCTCAAGGACAATTAGGAAAGGATACTATTTTGTCAATGATGCCTATGTTTTGTGAATAAACAAAAAGCTGTTGCAGAAAAAAAGTTTCATTTCTTTGAACACATCAAATGTTTACATTTTCATTTTTTAGTTGGCTGGAAGATAGAGCTCAGATTTTGCCAGTTTTCAAATATATACTTCACTAAATACCAAATGTCAGAATTCTGAAAAAAACACTGAAAACGAGCTTATCATTAGTCACATTGACACTAATATTTGCGAAAGAGTTACAGATTTTTGTGAATTCGATACTGCCAATTCTAACTACAAAAAGTAGGTCAGAAATCACATGACACCAGGTTATTGTCCAACAGGTTTATTTGAAAACACAGGCTTTCGGAGCATAGCCCCTTCTTCAGGTGAAGTGAGAAAGCAGCACACAAAACATAGAATTTATAAGTAAAAGATCAAAGGGTCACATAACTGATGAGGATGTACTAAACAGCATCTTAGGTCTGTTTAATTTTGTAAATTAAATGTATTTAATTTTGATACTGATTGAGCATTTACAATTTTTTGCTCTTAGTTATTTACCTTGTTCCCACTGAAATAGCTCAAATACAGCTTACATAAAGAGAAAAGTATTACCTACTCAGAGAACATGGTCGTTTCTGCATTTTCATCACCTTATAAGGGGACAATAACCAGGGACAACCATAAACACCACACTTGTCCATACCCCTGGCTTCAAAATATACCTGAAACATACCATGGCACTCACCAGAATAACAAATATAGCGTAATATCCCAATCCCAAATGGGCAACATATCATAGGATGCCCTGTGTAAAGTATCAGATAACCAAATACATAGATGATTTGGAGTTGGGGACTAAGTGTGGTGTGTCAAAATTTGCAGATGACACTAAGGTGAGTGGTAGAGCAAAGTGTGCAGAAGACACTGAAAGTCTGCAGAGGGATATAGACAGTCTAAGTGAGTGGGCAAAGGTCTGGCAGATGGAGTACAATGTTGGTAAGTGTCAGGTAGGTAGGTAACTGTCATTTTGGTAGGAATAACAGCAAAATGGACTATGTTTTAAATGGTAAAAAGTTGCAGCACGCCGCTGTGCAGAGGGACTTGGGTGTCCTTGTGCATGAATCGCTAAAAGT